CAATTATTCCCAAGATTATCTAGCCAGTAAAATCACTCAGTTAGACCATCCATTCAAAAGGATCTAGAGAGAACAATGCTAATATATAGAAAATAAAAATAAGATTTTTTAAATGCATATCATAAATTTTTCCTAAAGTGATTCTTTTTTTCATAAGAATCACTTAAAAATAAGTGATTCTTATGAAAAAAAATCTCAATTATTTATAGGATTTTAAAAAACAATCCTGAAATTCCCCAAACATTTCAAACTATGATCAGAATATTTCAGAGAATAGAAACTAGAAATTATTAGCATCTTCATTAAAATACATCTAATTTCTGTTTATTATTGTTGTTATTTTAATTTTATGGAATTTTTCCTTTCAAGATTTGGATATTATTCATACATGTATGTTTTTATCTTTTAAAAATTAAAAACAGAATAACATTTTATTTAGTTACAGATTTTTTAAAAAATAAATATAGCCATTATTTTAAATGAATACAAACAGTATTTACACGATGTAAATAATACATTTTTATATATATTTTTGTATTTCAAACCTTTGTTCTTAATTTATTTTAAGTAGATAATTCAAAAAGTAATAATTTCATTATAAATTTTCTTAGTATTCATAAAAAAGCATGATACTTCTTAACAAGAAATTAACAATTTATGACTTTATTCATGCATAGTTGAATGGTGTAAAAATGTATTCCTTATTAGAAAGTCTCTATCGTTATTTCTTTTGATTATTAATTAAAATTTTACAACTTACTATTTTCTATTAATGGGCTATTTTTCAATTGTAAATAATCTGCTTTTCCATCACCTGCTTGCTTCTTCTTTACATTTTCTTCAAAGTTTAATGAAATTCCATTTGTTTGATTACAATTATCACCAACTTGCAGTAATGGAACAGAACCTTCGTCATCTCTTTCTAAAAACACATCTTTGTCATCTAAGTATATATCTGGTGAATAATAACCATTTGATACATTTTTTATGTTCTTTAATGGCCTTGATTTTGGAGAAGCTATTAAAAATATAATAATAATAATAATTATTATTTATATTGTCCATAACGTATCAGTTAATCTTATATAAAATATTCTTACATTCTATTTCCTTCTGACCATTTTCAGCAACTTGTAAAAATACTTCTTCCAATGTTGTTGTTTTAATGCCATAACTTGATATTCTTAATTGAGTTAAACTACTTTCTAATGCTGTAAACAATTTTTCAAAGCTTCCTTTTCTTAATTCACTCATAGGAAGCACATAATGAAGTTCATGTTTAGTTTCGGCTACTAGATAGGCACTTGTAACATGTTGAGTAATGAAATTTGTTACAGATTTTTCGTCACAAACTAAATGAAATATTTTATTTTATTTAATAATTAGTTATTTGATACAAAATATTAAAATAAAAACAAAATAATTTACCTTCTGTTTCAACAGGTGGTGAAGATAAAGGTTTTTTGACTATGTACAAATGATATCCTTCTCCAAGATTATTTTTTAGGAAGAGAGAAGTGCCACAACATTGTAACTGGCCATTTGATATGATAGCAATTCGATCTCCTAATATATCTGCCTCATCCATATGATGTGTTGATAAGAGTATAGTCCTTTCTAAAAAATAAATTTTTCTATTAAACTTATCAAAACAAACAAAACATTAAATAAATTTTTAAAAAATTATAATTTTGTAAAAAAAAAAAGTCAAATATTTTTAAAGTTTAGTGATATATTTTATCATTTGATTTTATCTTCAATACTAGATACAGGGTAATACAGTGGTGAATAAAACTGTACATGGTGATCAATTATTCAATTTACAGTTATTCAATCAATTATTCAAGTTACAGCTTTGAAATATACTCCTGTCCAAGTCTCAAAGATAACTGAGTTATAGAGAAAAATCTTTATTTCAAATCAGTTTATTTCAACATTAATTAGTAGAAACTACAACAGTTCATTATTAATTTAGAAGCAGGTTATGTTTTTTAACTATCACTTCAAACTCATCATTTTATTTCAAAATCATTTTTCAAACATAAGTGTTTTTGATTATTGTTTGAACAATACTAACATTTTTCCAAATAATGTGACAGCATCAATTTATTTGTTTTGTTCTTTTTCATTGCTAAGTAGAATTAAAACTATGAATGATTTGAAATAAAGAGTTTTCCCTGTAATTCTGTCATCAGATAAGAGTTTATTAACATTTTTTACTGTAAATTGAATAATTGATCATTCCTTAATGTTTTATCAACCACTTTTGAATCATTCTGTATAAAGATTTAGATAAATGATCTGAATAACCACACATACTGACAAATATAAACAAAAATATATAAACTACTACTAAATATATACTAAATACTAATTGTTAGTGTATATATATATATATATATATATATATATATATATAGTTAATATATTGTAAAACAAATATATTAACTATAGTTCACTTATCATTTAGGAAAAATTAATAATATATAATTATCAAACAGATAATAAATAATAAATAATTAAACTTACAATAATTTTTTAAAATTTAAAACTATATCAATCATTTAAAAACAGTTGTGTAACAAAATTATTCTGAATGCATACATACATATACACACAGAATAATTTTGTTACACACCTTTTATATATATATAATCAAAACATTTTTTACCATGTTTATATTTTAAAATTAGGTCCCAAATAGCTCTACGTGAATAGGGATCTACTCCAGCAGTCGGTTCATCTAATATTACTACTTGTGACCCACCAACAAATGCAATAGCCACAGAAAGTTTTCGCTTCATGCCTCCAGATAAATAATCAACTTTGCTTTTTCTTTTTAATGGCAGATTTAAATCTTCAATCATTCTTTAATTAAAAAAATAATTCATTTATTCTAATCATACATAAAAATATTATGTTATAAATTTTAAAATATTGTAATGCAGATTTAATTTTATAGTCAATACAATTCAGTTTTTAAAATAGCATAAATCATATTATCAACATACAAATCCGACTCATGTTTGCCGTATCCAAAGTAAAAAAATCTTTGATTTAATTTAATTCAGACTAATGGACCATTAATTCAAACTTATAATAATGTTATGGTGAAAAATGTATCCTACTCAATTCCTACCTATGCCTAGAACTATATCACATCAATGTCAAGTCAGAAATACAGAAAATTGCTGCTGTAATTTCATGCTGAGCTGTTTGCGTATATTTGTATTTAAGAATTTCTTAATTATATGACATCTGTTTAGTGTGGTTGCTTTCTGTAGTGTGGTAAGTGCTGTTGTTGAGTCCTACTAATGTTTCTACACTTTTATAGTGCATATGGTAGTGCAAGAAAAGTTTTTACAAAGTTTTTAAATTTTTTAAACAATAAAAATATCACAATATATTATTAAGGGCTGTCATTAATTATAAGTACAATTTTTGAGTTAGTTCTGACTCTCTTCCCTTTAATTACATGTATAATACTTCTTGGATCCCTGATATTGAAGAAATGACTTAAAATTCTTCAAATATTTTCTATGGTTTATTCACATGACTGGAAAATAGGCTAATAAGATCAAATTCTAATGGTATTAATACCACTGAAAGGTCCACACAGACAATGCTTTGATCCCTTCCCTATGCACTGTGTAGAATAATGTACTTTTTGCAATCCTCTTTCTCCTCTTAACTGTACACACAATTAATGGGCAGTCCCTTATTGTTATTATCAAAAATTTATAAAATAACTTTTAAAAGATGACATTACTATTTAAAGATAAATTTCTGCTTTATTGCATTAATTTTTATAAATTTTACTTAAAATATACTTACTTATCCATTTCGTCTTTTAAGAACTCATCAGGAGTGCCTTTAAGCTTTGAATAAAACCATAAATGTTCTTCTACAGTCAACCTGAAAATAATAATAATAATTCATAACAATTATAAAAATATCTTTTTATTTTAGTATATAGAATTTTAATTTAATAATTTTTATATGAAGTTACACTTTTCTTTCAGAAACTTAACATTACAAATTTTAAAATCTTTCTAAACAATTTTTGTTCTAAAATACTTTAAATGTTTAATTTCACTGTTTGTAAGATGATCAAACATTTATCAAATATTTTTTTAAAATAACATTACTCATGAAATAAAAACAATTAAAGTAATTTTTTTTAATTTGATTTTTTATATTGACAATACAAAATATAATGATAGCCACTTTGAAGTAAAACAAAACAATGCATTTTTATTAAAAACAAAAAGTATAAAATAACTGGTTATAAAATTAACTAAAAAGCAAACAAATTTCAAACTAAACAGAGTTATCAGTTATATAATAATCTCTTACAAATAGACAATACTTTTATTAAAAATAACTAAATATAATATGTTTCTGCTTACTTTGAAAGAGACAAATTACTTGGTTTATTAAGAATGTAAGGAAATTTGGATTCTTTTATTAGTAATCTGTTAATTTGTGTCTGACATTTCTTAACCTTTCAACAGTGGAATAGTCAGGTATAATGCCCTTAGTAGTGGAGAATAAACATGGAAATTTTTAGAGTATTTTTCCATGCATTTTTTCTCATTACTGTTTCGGAAAAAGATTTGTAAACAGTTATGTCTAGTAAAGAAAAGTCTTATTTTATTGTTACATAATTCATTTTTTATGTAATTTTTTTTTTGCGGTAGTTTTTGGCAATACCCCAAAAGAATTTGACATATATATACATCACTCACCACTGCTACACGATTGCCCTCGACGAACATATTCTTCACTCACTGCTGAGTGTGCTGAGCGGCTAATGATCAAATGATCATAAAGAAATGTAGTAATCTATTATAGATTGAACTAGTAAACTTCAAAAAGTGTGTAATTTGACTCAAGATAATATTAATATAACAGTATCTCTGTATTAATGCCTCTGTGTATTGATAAACTTTTTATTAATTAGTCTATATACAATTTAATGTTAATCTTTAATAATAATAAAAAAATACTTGTTGATCATTAATAGTGTCAGTATAGGAAGTTGGATGATTATAATGATAAGTGAAAAACTGATTCTGGATTGTAACAAGGAGTAGTAACACAACTGAAATTTTGGTAGCAATAATTTTAAGATTTAATTTTTTCAGTCTCTGTTAAAATGATTAAATCATTTTTTAGTGTATAAGATTATTATTAATAAGTTTGAAGTCTCAGTAGATGTTATAATTATTGAATTGAGTGGGTATAAAAAATTACATAGGCAAAACTTACTAATATTACTTAAATTACTGTTAAAATATTTTGATTTGTATTTCAAAGATTGCAGTTTTCATTACTTTTTAATAATAATTAATGAAAAAATTAAACTCACTCATCAAATAAAACATTATGTTGAGGGCACATTCCCATGCTTTGTCGAATAATTTCCATTTCAGTTCTTATGTCATGGCCATAAATAGTTGCATAACCAGATGTTGGAGGAAACAAGCCAGTAAGTATAGACCTAAAAAATTATTTATTAAATCATCCTCAAAATTAGTTAAAGATATTTGTAATTATTTTAAAACTTACATAGTAGTAGTTTTTCCAGCTCCATTATGACCAAGAAATGATGTTATTTGTCCTTCATAAAGATTTAAACTTAACTTATTAACTGCCAGTTTATTTCCAGTTTTATACACCTTCAAAAAAAACAAATGTTTATTTGTTTTATAATTTATAAACTCAACATATTTATTAATAATTACAAAAAGAACTTCTATAATATACCAATCATAAATATTCAAAGTTACAAAATTGATCACTTGATTGTGTGTATGTACATGTACATGGAGCATATTAATTTATCTAATTAAATATATAATTTGCATAGTTCTATTTATCAAATAAAAATAAATTCAACCTTAAAAACTGCAATTTCTATAACTATCTAATATCTGTTAAAAGGAAATTTAATTTGTTTCAATATACTAAAGTTTTAGCACAAAAAATGTAATTTATTTTTGGAAAATTTATTTTACAATGATCTACAAACTAACATCTTTAATAAATAATAAAATGCTTTCCAGAGAAATGTATTATTAAAAATATTAATGTCTTCAAGAACTTTCTATCACACTATACACTGCCTTAAATAATGTGGAAATTGTTGCTATATTACTATTAGATCATCCGAATTTTGAAAATTAGATATCAATATGTATGAATATGACATATGCTTACTTTCACCAAATTGTCAATACAAACACCAAGAGGTAAATGCTCTGGATCAGGTTCAAAAAAGCGACTGTCATCTGAAAATAACAAGATATTGTTCATACCTGAAGTTGTAAAATAATTTTATTTCCATTTATGTTTCGGCAAAATATATAAAAAATCAAAATTAAAAATCTAACTTTTGCTTTTTACTTATATCAATCTTAATTTTTGTAAAATTTATGATTCTGATACTTAATCTCTCAAAAACAAAATTTTATTATTTAGATTAGTACTGAGAATAACAATATATTAATATTTACGTGTCCTATTTGCCATTGCGCAAGCTTGATCCTCTTCTGTTACTGAAAGACCCCAATGACTTTTTTTGATTAATTTATGCCAACAATCATTGATGCAACCACATTCGGCATCAGTTTTTGGTGCGCCAATCCAGTAACTTTTAGTAAATGGGAAATACCACGGTTTAGGTAGACCATATGAACCTTAGAATGAAGAAAGGGAAAAGAAATAAGATTTAGAAGCATGAAATAAATTTAATCTCATATTTATTGATTGTGAAAATAAACATTAAAAAAATAGCAAATTAAGATTATCTTTTAATTTAAATGTATTTTATTCAGGAAAATTTATATAAGATAAAATATAATGTCTAATGTTAACTTACTGATATTAATATTGTATCCATCTTAGCATTACTTGCCATTGTAAATATTTACTTTATATTCTCTATTAGCACTGTCAACTTAAATTATTTTGTCTTTTCACAATAATATATTCTTTAAAAGGTTTACAATTTACTTTTAATGCCGGTATAAATGCTGTTTTTAATTCATAACCATAACAAAAAATTTAACATGTTAAAGTTAAATGAAGTTAAATGTAAAAAAAATTCATAGATTTTTCCGAAATGATTTCAGAGTGCTGTCACTTTCTGATTATAATGATCCATTTTGAAAGCAATGTAAAATCACTCACTTTACAACAACAATGCTTGGAGAGTAATCGTTAATTACTAATGCTGAATGAAAAACTAGAAGTGGATAAAACCACAGTAGTAGTTAGTCATGGGCTTGTGCCTGATCAATGGTCTGGCCATGTGGAATTTACCATGTTTTCTTCATGTGTCTAACATCTAAATAAGAACCAGTTTCCTATAGAAAGCCCTTGTGAAAGTCACCCTCTTGACAGACCATCCATGTGTTGCATTGCTTTATTCCATCATCCAATCATAAACACAAATGAATATGAATAGAAACCATAAAAACAATTTATATTCATAACTAACTCAATTGTGAAGTTTTGTTCTCAAGTTCCATCCTATGTCCACTTGCAATAATTTCCCAAACAACTTATTTTTTGCATTCAATTTTTTATTTTATATACACGTGAACTATTTGCACAGGCATAAGTGGTCGGTCATACATAATTCAAAATGTTTCAAAATGAATAAATTATATATTAAAAATTAAATAATATAAAAAATAAAGAAAAATATATTACCAGGATGGACATTTTCTATATACCATACAAGCAGAGAATAAAGGAAAGTATCCATCAGCATCATAATAGCTACATTCCATAAACTAAATTCATCATCTTCTACTGGAGATATGTCAATGTTAGACCACTGTACTCCAACACCAACTTCTTCATAAAATGCAAAATATTTAGCACCTAATCCAAATGCAGTTGTTGATAACAGAGACTATAAGATAATAATGTGCATATAAATAAATCCAGTTTTTTCTCTAATTTTTTTATATATTCTTTAAAAAACTACATATTTTAAAGTATAATTTTAGTAAAATGTCTTACTGCTAAACTCTTTAGCCATGCTGGTATACGATCAT